TGTTACAGTTATTACTACGCGCAGTGATATGGAACTAATGCGGTCAAAACTACTTTAGCCGTGCGTTTCCCTGAAAATAATTGCACACCTTATAACCTTCTCAACCAATCAGAATCAAGCATGTAACAGCCCTGTAGTATAATATAAAATAATATAATGTTTGTTTTGACTGTTGTGTTCTTCTGTGTTGTAAGTATGCCTATTAGTGCGTGTGCACAGTTTCACGCAATGTTTGTATACTTTAACCACCTCCGAGGATAGTAGGGGTCGCGAGTCACTCGCACCTTTATTTTGGGGGTCGTGGGCTGAAAAGTTTGGGAACCCCTGATTTAAACCATGCTAATGCAATTCCACTAATGCCAACATAGTTTTCTAATCTATTTAAAAGAATGTTGTTGTCAATGGTGTCAAATGCAGCACTAAGATCGAGTAACACTAATAGAGAGATACAACCACGATCGGATGATAAGAGCAAATCATTTGTGACTCTAATGAGAGCGGTCTCAGTGCTATGGTACGGTCTAAATCCGGACTGAAAATCCTCGCAGATATCATTTCTTTCTAGAAAGGAACATAGTTGTGAAGATACTGCTTTTTCTAATATCTTTGACAGAAAAGGCAGATTCGAGATCGGCCTGTAATTGACTAATTCTGTAGGATCAAGTTGTGGTTTTTTAACAAGCGGTTTTATCATAGCCAGTTTAAAGGTTTTTGGTACGTATCCTAGAGACAAAGATGAATTAATGATATTAAGAAGAGGATATATGACCTCTGGAAACATCTCTTTCAGTAGCTTAGTCGGTATAGGGTCTAACATACAAGTGGTCGATTTAGATGAATTAACGAGTTTGCAGAATTCTTCCTCTCCTATAGCAACAAATAAATCAAATTTTTCCTCAGGGAGACTACAATGCACTTCCTGATGCAATACTGTGGTAGACGGTTGCATAGTTATAATTTTGTCCCTGATATTATCAATCTTATAAGTGAAGAAGTTCATAAAGTCATCACTGCCGTGTTGCTTTGACACTTCTGAGCTTGAAGCTTTCTTTTTCGTTAGTTTAGCCACTGTTTCAAATAAATACCTAGGATTATGTTTATTTTCTTCTAATAGGTTTAAAAAATAAGCAGATCTAGCAGCTTTTAAAGCCTCTCTGTAAGCAATTGAGCTCTCTTTCCACGAAATCCGAAATACCTCTAGTTTAGTTTTCTTCCAGTTGCGCTCCATTTTTCTGGCTGCTCTCTTAAAGTAACAACAGGTAACTTTTCAGCCTTCATAATATATTTCCAAGTCTCTTGTGATGGTACATCGACTTACAATAGGTTGAATGACACGTCTGCCATAGCCTGACGGGGTCTGTAGCGTTTTTAATCGTACTTTTAAACTTCGGGTTTCGGGTAGTAACCGGCGAACAAAGAGAACTACAAAATTCGACTGCTTTACGGCATATACGTCACTTCCACCACCACCACCCCCACTTCCTTAAAATCGGACTTGCGAGCCAAATGTTATAGTCATGGCCGAAGCAGCACAGAAAAACAAGAAAGCAAAGGTTTTATCGGAGCAAAGCAAAAAGAGAAAAAGAGAAAGTGATCGCGTTAAAGGCAGAACGAGGATCAACATTGCAGAGCTGCCAACTCTCACGCATTGGCCGTGAGACACCCGCATTTAATTGGTTTCACACGCTCACACGCCACACCCCCGGTTTCTCACGCTAAATTGTCAACCCGGTCGGTCAAATGCCTGAAAGATGAGTTTATCTATAGATCTCTACCTGTTGAGCCACTCGTGATCGACAAGTTATACCGCAAATTAGTTCAAATCTCCCGGAATCTAGAGCGAGCGCGCACGCGAGACATACTGTGCTTCAACGCGCGCGGACGGCAGAGAGAGAAAGCGAGCGAGAGACCTTGCGTGTGCAGGGAGCATCGAACCCCCCATCGAAAAAAGAATGCCTCTCTCTAACCTCTCTAATTCGCTAGAGTGGTAGCGAATTATCAATCTGGTAGCAAGTAAACGATATTCTAGTTTTTGATGGTTAGCTATCGCTAGTATTCTCGTTCTGATTTGAACTTTGCAATCGATGAAATGCAAATAGCAAATGTTTGACCTAAAAAGTGTAGTCTACTCAACATGTACAAAGAAAGGAGGAAGATTATTAATAAAATCATATTTTAGGATACCTAACATGTCTGTGATATTTGTTTATTTGTCTTGCCTCAAGCTATAATGCAAATCGATTTGTAAAATTTGCAGATTCATTTATGGTAGCTTGATATTATAATATTGACGATATATGGTTATTATCAACCACTCAAACATTGCATTGAAGTATCATATAGATTCAGTAAAACGGTAACCAATAGACTAGGCTACTATAATGACGCTGGCTTGTAAACGCGATCATTTGTCGTTATAAAAAAAATAAAACCCATGAAATTATATTCATATGACATGCTGAAATATATGCCACTGTACCTGGGATGAAGACATTTCACACGCGACACAAGCAGAACACCTGCATGTGACCTCCTCCTACAGTGTTCAGGGCTATCATGGTTGTCAACAAATGCACGTGCATGTAGGATGACAGTTTACGACAGTAGTAGAGGACAATACTGTTTCCCAACTGTAGGGGGAGCCCGAGAGGAAAAAACTACCTGTTGTTACTTTAAGGGCCTGAGTGTGCTCGCTGTACCACGGCGTTGGACTATTTTCTTTAATCTTCTTTAAGCGCAACAGAGCAACTGCGTCTAAAGTGCTGGAAAAGAGAGAGTTAAACGTTTCTGTTGCAATATCGAGTTCTTCTAAGCTATCTGGGATGCTGAGATGATGAAACTGATTAGGAAGATTATTGAAAAAGCAATCTTTAGTGGCAGAAGTTATAGGTCTAACGTATTTATAACACGGAGTCGGCTTTGCAGCCTTGGCTAAATGTAATTTACATGAGACTAGATAATGATCTGAGATGTCATCGCTCTGCCCCAGAAAGGAAACTGACTGACTGGGCAGTAATGAGCTCTTGGTCCAGTTGACCGTGAGACCCAGGCTTTCCAGATGACTGAGGAGCACTGTTCTGTGAGATACGAGTTCTATCTCTGACTGTGCCAGAATCAGCCAATCGTCCAAATAGTTCAGAAACCCACATGCCCTGATTTCTCAGGGGGGCGAGAGCCGCGTCCATGCACTTCGTAAATGTACGGGGTGCTAAAGACAGGCCGAACGGGAGGACGGTGTATTGATATACCTGACCGTCGAAGGCGAATCTCAAGAATGCCCTGTGACAGGGTATTATCTGAATCTAAAAGTAGGCATCTTTCAGATCGAGAGATAAACCAGTCCCCCGGACGAATTTGCGCGAGAATTTGTCTGGTCGTGAGCATTTTGAACAGTCTTCTCATGCGAGCTTTGTTCAAATATCTCAGATCTAAGATAGGTCTGAGAGCTCCGTCCTTCTTAGGTACAAGAAAATAGTGGCTGTAAAAGCCTGACTCGCTCAGAGAAGGAGGTACCGGTTCTATGGCCCCTTTGCACATCAGTTTGGCTATTTCTGCGCGGAGTAAATGCGCTACTTCCGCTTTCACTTTCGTCGCGCTCCGTGCTTGAAACCGCGGGGGCCGACGAGCGGATTGTAGCGAATAGCCCTGTCTTATTGTGCTCAGCACCCATTCTGATACCCCCGGAATAGCTTCCCATGTATACAGACAGGAGCCATCTTTGGAAAACAGTCTCGACTAATCGAACCACGAACGGCGTGCTAAGTGAGCTGAACTGTATGAAGTTCAGTGAACTTCTGAACTGTATGAATGGCGTTCGTGGTTTGACTAGTCGAGATTGTTTTCCAAAGATGGCTCCTGTCGGTATACACGAAATAATAATAATAATAATTCATCACATTTATATAGCGCTTTTCTGGACACTCAAAGCGCTTCACATAGAAGGGGGAATCTCCTCAACCACCACCAATGTGCAGCATCCACCTGGATGATGCGACGGCAGCCATATTGCGCCAGAACGCCCACCACACACCAGCTTACTGGTGGAGAGGAGACAGAGTGATGAAGCCAATTGGTATATATATATATATAGGGATGATTAGGAGGCCATGATGGACAGAGGCCACTGGGCAAATTTGGCCAGGATGCCGGGGTTACACCCCTACTTACTCTTTCGAAAGACATCCTGGGATTTTTTGTGACCACAGAGAGTCAGGACCTCGGTTTAACGTCTCATCCGAAGGACAGTGCTCAATTGATAGTATAGTGTCCCCATTACTATACTGGGGCGTTACGACCCACACAGACCACAGGGTGAGCCCCCCCTGCTGGCCTCACTAACACCTCTTCCAGCAGCAACCTGGTTTTCTCAGAAGGTCTCCCGTCCAGGTACTAACCAGGCTCAGCCCTGCTTAGCTTTAGTGGGCAACCAGTCTTGGGCTACAGGGTGATATGGCTGCTGGCACAAAGTGGACTGTCTTTATCTTTATCTTCTTATTAAACGGTCTGTACACTTACAAAGTTCTCAATGCTTCGTTTTGCATGTAGGGACCCTCATTATGTAACTGTGTTAGTGTGGGGCTATTTTGAGCCTTGTTAGTGGTATAAACTAGCGATTTCTTTTTACTTATTAAATGCCCCCATTACTAGCGTTATACGCTAAACAGTTTTTAGAGATAAAACTCTTTACATTCGATTATCATGAAAACAAATCTCAGAGAACGGTTGACTAGGTACCATTGTTTTATTAGACCAAAGGTTCATTTTGCAACGGAGTTCTCCTTTAACTTGTGAAAATACAAAGTGTAAACAAATGTGACATCTCCTTACAAAAGAAAAATAACAAGAACAATTTGAACCTGTAAAAAAAATATTTTCCTTCATAAAAGCGTAAACATTTTACATAACATTTAACTCATAATAAAGTATAATGATATTTATATATACCATGAAGCAAAATTATATACAAGAATAATTCTCTCACAACTGCTGGTCTTGAAGATTAATTTTATTCACTGTGACAAATTTAGATGTTTCTTTGTCCTGTCGCTCGTTGGCTGGTTAGGACAGATTTGGAAGAGATTTTATTGCTTGATGGTATTATTGTGTCACGTTTGGTGAGGACACAGCATTAGACCTGAAAGTGCTGGATCTGAAGATGATCTACTTGCTGTGATTGTATTTTATATGACTGCGTAGAGAAGATAATTGAGTGAAACTCTTCCCACAAGGATTGCAGTGATACGGTTTCTCTCCAGTGTGGATCCTCTCGTGTGTTTTCACATGTTCTGACCGACGAAATCTCTTGTCACAGTGTGAACACTTGTAAGGTTTCTCTCCAGTGTGAGTCCTCCAGTGTTGTTTCAAACGTATACCGGTAATAAAACTCTTCCCACACTCAAAGCACTTATGATCTCTTACACCAGTATGTATTTTCTGATGAAATTTTAAACTCTGCAGACGTGAAAAACTCTTTCCACACAAAGAACATGAATGTGGTTTCTCCTGTGAATGAACTAACATGTGGGTCGATAGGCCTGTGGACCTCGAAAATATTTTGCCACATTGATCACATTCATATTTCTTTTCTCCAGTGTGGATGTTCATGTGATTCTGAAGGTTTGATGATTGTGTAAAACTCTTTCCACACTGATCACATGTGAACCGTTTCTCTCCAGTGTGGATCCTCGTGTGAACCTTAAGACTTTGTTTGCATGTAAAACTCTTTCTACACAAAGAACATAAATGTGGTTTCTCCTGTGAATGAACTCTGAGGTGGCTCTTTAGGGATGAAGCACTCACAAATGTTTTGCCACATTGATCACATTCGTATGGTTTCTCTCCAGTGTGGATGTTCATGTGTTCCTGAAGGTTTGATGATTGTCTAAAACTCTTCCCACACTGATCACATGTAAACGGTTTCTCTCCAGTGTGGACCCTTGTGTGAATCACGAGACTTTGTTTGTATTTAAAACTCTTCCCACACAAAGAACATAAATGTGGTTTCTCCTGTGAATGAACTCTGAGGTGGCTCTTTAGGGATGAAGCACATACAAATGTTTTCCAACATTGATCACATTCATGCACTTTCTCACCAGTGTGGATGATCATGTGTTCCTGAAGGTCTTCTTGTCGTGTGAAACAACTCAGACACTGATGGCAGATGAAATATTTCTTGTCTATTGTTTTCAAAGAAATACTTTCAGTCTGTGAGGGAGTTTTTTCTTCAGTTTTGACATGATGTTTCTCCTCTCCAATCTCCTCATTTTCCTCCATCGTGCCTGAAATGATAATAAAAATCATCATTTTAATGCATTTTTATTAATTGATTTCCACAAATGAGGTATATTGAAGGCTGATGGGAATATTCTATCATTTATTTGTCAACTGATGTGAGCATTAGGAAAAGAATAATTCAGTTAAAAACGGGGGAAGCGGCAGCGCATTTCATTCAAATTGTTACAAAGTGCCTTGTATTTAGCTGCATTAGGGTTTTCTTATTGAGAGTTGACATATTCAATGACTATGGACTGTTAATGCCCCCTTGTGGTATTACGGAGTAATTGGAATATGCTCGGAAGTGCGTTAGTTCTCGTTATGACTCCGTAGAGCAGGGGTGCCCAATCCTGCTCCTGGCGATCGACTGTCCTGCACAGTTCATCTCCAACCCTAATCAAACACACCTGAAGCAACCAATTAAGGTCTTCAGAGCACGTCAGGATCACTTGAAAATTAAAGGCAGGTGTGTTTGATTAGGGTTGGAGATGAACTGTGCAGGACAGTCGATCGCCAGGAGCAGGATTGGGCACCCCTGCCGTAGAGTGTTGACTGTGGAGCGCACGAGAGTTCGCCTCATCTCATAAAGTGGTGTTATATAATCGTGTGCGTGCATCTAAAAGTAAGTTTCTATGTTTAGTAATCTTATTTCATTACTGTTTACGGGTTATCAACATAGTTCTGTTTGTTAGGTTAAATAGGCCTAATTAAAGTCGTTTGTACGGCTGATCGACCTGCATATAATCTCGGTGCATGGTCATAATTGTTCAGTATGCTCCTGTTGTTATATCAAACATTATTGTAATAGCTTTTCATTGGGTATATTTATATTATTTGTTGATATTGTCAAGTATGCTAAGAAAAGTGCTTCGTCATTCAGATTTGCACGCGCTGTCTACGTGCCGTTATTGACGCGGGTTCGAACCCCAGTCTGACTAATGTTAGATAAGATGACAAAAGTGAATAATATGACTTCTGGATATGTTCTAATGCCTTTCTAACTATTGAAATATCTTTGTTATTGATCAACAATTATTGTATGGATATTAAATATTGATATATTGTTTTTATTTGTCTTATTAGAAGCACACACACACAAGTACACTCAATAAATCCTCAACGAAACCTATGTGCATCTTCATTGCGTCCTGACCAGACGTACCACAGTGATTAATTTAACCCGAGCCACATCGGTTACTGCATAACAAATTGGTCCTTCGAGCCGGATTCGGTAATTGCTGTGGATGTGTTGAAGATGTTGTCAGACAAGACGAACAGAGAAGGACGGCCTGCTGACGTGCGTCCTAAGAGGCGAACACAGCCTCCAACCTGGTTGGAGGATTATGAGGTTTCTCTCCCGCATTATGACCAACATACTCCAGCTGCTCATACATTAATTCATCCCAGAGAGTTACAGGCAAGTCACACTGAAAGGGTAGCCGAGAAGACCCCTCTCACGTATAAGTCAACAAGCGACAAGGCCATGTCGGCAGGCTGGAGAGCCATACGTCGTTCAACATCCACTGGAACAAGATATGAAAGCCCACCTGTATCGCAACGAGTTACAACGGAGGATGTATCTGAGATTTTGAAAATGATGCAGCAGCTTAAACGAGAAAATCAACAACTTCAATCTACAGTGATAGATATGCAACAGCAAATGGTCATTAATCCAGCCTCCTCAACCCAACAAAAAGCAGTGCCTTTGCCAGATGACAGGGCCCATTTACCACCAAGGCGAGCCCCTTTAACAGAATATGAAGACTAGCCACTGCCACCTCCTCCTGTAGTGGATGATGAGATCCTTCCCTCCACAGTGGATATACCACCACCTCCTAGACACAACATATCAGATTTGGTGGACGAAATATCCACTAGCATGCAGAAATTAGGGAATCGAGGTAAATTTCCCTCCTGCGCATTAACACCTGAGTACTATGAACCCGGGAGGTACCCTATGGGAATGACTTCACCACATAGGACGCATAACTATCCACCGCCCAGACATCCCCAAACAGCACCTACTGCCAGCATGCCATTCTATAGAGATACAGGACGGCATCCTGACCACACTCAGCAAGAGAAGGTATATCGAGGCCCTACACCCACAATCCCTGACTTCACCAAGGAAGACCCACGGGAATTTGCACGATTGAAGGTCTCATTAGACAATCTTCTACCTGAGGATGTGACGGAGAGATTTAAATATCAAATTCTTTTAGAACACTTGAAGTTTGATGACGCTCTTCTCATTGCAGACTCTTATATAAATTCCAGTAGGCCCTATTCAGATACAATGGCAACTCTTGCTGAGCAATTTGGGCAACCTCACCAATTAGCCTTGCGGCGGATTGCTGATTTAATGGACGATCCCACTATCCATAGTCATGATGCCAGTGGATTCAAAAGGTTTGCATTGAAAGTCAGAGCATTAGTAGGCATGCTGGACCAACTGGGGGATAGTGGCAGTGTTGAGCTCCAGTGCGGTTCACACATAACCAGACTGTTGTCGAAGCTGCCCCACGACTTGCGAGCTGAGTTCAAAAGGTACATGTACCCCTTAAATATTCGCATTCCTACTCTTTTACACTTTGCAGACTGGCTTGAATACGAGCTGAAAATCCAGGAAAGTGGTTTCCAGTTGTATGGCGGTGACAGAAAGGAGCAAGCTACTCAGGAAAGAGATAGACGCAGAGACTTTAAGTCCACCAAGACAACGGCTATATTCCACAGTGCAGAGCCTGCTACCACATCTACAGAAGAATCCAGTTTGAGTGTGGCTAAAACTCAGGACAAACCAAAAAAATTCTGCCCCTACTGTACAAATACTCAGCATTATTTGAATCAGTGTCATAATTTTAGCCAGCTCACCAAGGAACAGAAAACAAACTGGGTGAAAACTAATAAGAGATGCTGGCGTTGTGGTCGAGCTCATCAGGCAGCGCAGTGCCGTTTGAAAATCATCTGTAAGGTATGTAAGGGCAAACATCTTGAGGCACTTCATGAGTTGAATGAGAGATCAGTCAATGAAAACACTTGTCTTGTCAACAACACATGTACCTAGACCGAACATTAGGCTGCAGTCAGGTTCTGTTAAAGGTCACAAAGGTAATCCTACGGAATGGAGAACATGCCATTGAGACATTTGCCATTTTGGATGATGGCTCAGAACGCACCATCCTTTTGCAAGCAGCTGCTCAGAAACTGAAGTTACATGGCAAACCAGAAGACCTTGCTCTGAGAACTGTTCGACAGGACATGAGAGTCATACATGGTACTTCAGTGTCCTTCACCATCTCTCCTGCCTGTCAGCCTCAACGAGTGTTTAAGATACACAGGGCGTTTACTGCAGACCAATTGGGGCTAGCCGAACACACGTGTCCAGCTACAACCTTACAGAATAAATACAGACACCTCAGAGGATTGCCAATACCTTCCTATGACAGTGTTCGGCCCCTCCTATTAATCGGCTCTGACTATCCCCATCTAGTTACCCCGATTGAGCCTGTACGCTTGGGTCCTTCCAGTGGATCAGCAGCAGTGAAGACGAGACTAGGCTGGACAGTCCAAGGGCCTGCTAAGCTTTTGCGACATCCACTTCTTACCCAACAATGTCTCAACATATCAACTTGCTCCCCTTCCAATGAGCTGTTCAGACATGTTGAGAAACTGTGGAAACTCGATGCACTGCCCTACAGGAGTGAGAAACTTGCTACCAGATCCAAACAAGATCAAGCCGCCATCGACCTGCTAGAGGCAAAGACAACCCGAATTGATATAAGTGGGATCCAACGCTATGATACACCCCTCTTAAGAGTTAAGAAAATGCCAAAATAACATGCCACCAAGCAATCTGTAATGGCTAATCTTCGCAGCACAGAGAATTGCCTGGCTAGGGATCCTGTGAAGTCAGGGGCTTGCAGAGTCGAAATTCAGAGACTGGTACAGGCAGGCTACGTGGTTGCAATACCAGAGCAGAATCTGACTGGGGAAGAAGAATCATGGTTCATCACCCACCACATGGTGAGGCATAATGAAAAAAAAAACAGAGTTGTTTTCAATTGTTCTTTCTCATACAGAGGCGAAAACCTGAATGATTTGCTTCTGCCTGGACCAACTCTGGGACGCTCCTTGCTCGGGGTACTGCTACGGCTCCGGGAGCATGCAGTAGCCTTTAGTAGTGATATAAAGGGCATGTTCCATCAAGTAAGATTACTACCAGAGGACAAGCCCCTCCTCTGATTCCTATGGCGTGATCAGAATAGAGAGGAACTCCCGAGCATCTACGAGTGGCAAGTGCTCCCATTTGGAATGACGTGTAGTCCATGCTGTGCCACATATGCACTACAGAAGCACGTAATTGACCACAGTGAGCCAGGAGACAAAGTCTGACACTCCATCGAAAGATGTTTCTATGTAGATAACTGTCTACAGAGTGTTGCTACATCTGAGGAGGCTAAAGGGCTAGTGAATACACTGAGGAATCTGTTAGCAGAAGGGGGATTCGAATTACGACAATGGGCTTGCAATTCACCAAATGACATTAATCATCTGCCAAAGGAAGCCAGATCTGAAAGCAGTGAGCTTTGGCTTAACCAAACCGGATCAGATCCTCAAGAACCCGTTTTAGGACTACGTTGGATGTGTCAATCTGATACTCTTGGATACCAAAGCCGCCTTGCTGACTGTTCAACCACCACAATGAGAAATATATACAAGGTAGTAGCGAGCCAGTATGACCCCCTTGGGTACCTTGTTCCCTATATCACTCGGGCCAAGATACTTATACAGAGTCTGTGGGCGAAACATAGAGAATGGGATGACCCACTACTCCCGAACGACATTCTTGAAACATGGCATGCTTGGCAAAGAGAACTGCCACATCTAACTCAAATTAAATTACCCCGCTGCTATGTTAGTTCCATGATGGACTCCCTTAATTGTAATCGACAAGTACATATCTTCAGTGATGCCTCTGAACGGGCCTATGGGTCTGTAGCATACT